GTTTGAGGGTTGGAATGTGTTTAGAAGGGGCAGAAATGATGAGCTGCGAAGAAAAACCCACTCAAAGAAGGCTTTTTCAAAATCTCATTAGGATCAATGGACTTTACCCCTGGATTAGGGTTAGGGGTGTGCACCAGGGTAGGGTTAGGGTTAGAAAAACGAGGTGTCCTGCCATGGTTTTGAGGGTTGGAACGTGTTTAGAAGGGGCAGAAATGATGAGCTGTGCAGAAAAAGCTGCTCAAGGAAGGCTTTTTCAAAATCTCATTATGATCAATGGACTTTACCCCTGGATTAGGGTTAGGGGTGTGCACCAGGGTAGGGTTAGGGTTAGAAAAACGAGGTGCCCTGGCCTGGTTTTGAGGGTTAGTATGTGTTTGGAAGGGGCAGAAAGGATGAGTTGTGCAGAAAAAGCTACTCAAGGAAGGTTTCTTCAAAATTGCTCTCCTTTTAATGGAACTTTAGCCACGAGGGGCATGTAGAGCCCTCTCCGTCAGCATGCGAGCCAAGTCACTCAAGCATCACCCCAGCAGCCGAGCATCGGATAGCAGCGCACACAGGAGCCGTGCGCATGCTTGGAAAGAAGCAGCCGTGCCAGGCGATAACGTCACGAGCCGCGACTCATTAGCCACGACACGTCTGAGTTTTCGCATGGCTGGTCAGTGCCCTGCCAAGGACATATGTTTATTTGCTTGGACTGGCTGTGAGTGGTTTTTCCAAACTGAAACCTCAGTTTCCAGGTTTCATTGCAGTGCTGGCCCTTTGCGATAAATAGGTGGGTTTCGGTTTGCCGTCTGGGCGCTCGGCCTCTAAAAGGTTCGCCATCGCTGCCTTAGAGTAAAGGTAACATTGCCAGGGAAGGGCTGGACCTCCGGGCGGGAGGACCGGACGGCCCCAGTACGCCACGCCAAGGAGCAGAAGGCCATGGCCAGGTGACCTGGGTGCCTTGCCCTGCCTGCGGCCCAGGTGCTCCCTGGGACAGGCGACTCTAAGGAGAGCGAGCGACGAGCCTTGCTCCTTAAGCCCGACTTGGAGCGCAGGGCCCTTCCAGGTCCCTCTCGGGTGGGCGAAACTGCCGCCCCAGTCAAGAAGGCCCAGCAGGGCGCTCTTGACCTCGCTGGACAGGGGAGCCCGGCTCACCATCGCAGGCCCCGCATCTGTGCCCAGGCAGGGCGGGGGGCTGTGCTCCGGCATCCGGCAGCGTGTGTGACGGCCGCGCTCCCACTTCTCCTCCTCTGACTGGCTCTCCGGTGGCCGGAGACCCAGCGGGGGATGCTCACCCGCCCGCCCGCCCACCCGCCCTCCTTCCGAGGGAGAGCGAGGCGCCCTGGCTGGGAAGGGGGCACTCTGGGCAGGGGCTGGTGCCCTCGGACACGCAGGCGATGCTCGGGGAGGCTCCCGGGACGCGCCCTGCCTGCGCCCAGGGCGTCTTGGCCAGCCGGGTGCCTGCCAGGCATGCTGCACCGCACCTCCTGCACTGCTGCTTTAAAACCGGAGAGGGTTTTTTGCCGGTCTTTATTCCTCTAATTCCCCACATCGGTTTGCCTCTTCGGATGCAATTCCGTGCAAATATCTGCTGCTAGCTGGAGCACTCTGGGAGCTGCAGGCCTCTTTCCTGTCCAAACAGGCCTGGAGTGCTTGTCCAGAGGGAAAGAGGGTGTCGCTCTTTGTCTGAAAACCTCGTTTCCTACATTTCTCCCGCACAATCCGTGCACAATGAATGAAGCCACGGGGAGAGTCAGGCACATGTGGGTGACTAATCACCTCCTTCTCCACCAAGCAGGACCAGGAGCGAGACGGTGCCCGCGTCCAGCTACGTCTTGGCACATCAAAAAAGAAAGCGAGAAGGCGGGGGGTCAGCAGGCTGCCGGTCGCTTCCCGCGTTCTCGTGTGATGTCGTCACCATTCCCAGGCAGGAAAGCCTCTCGTTTTGCTGCGCCAAAAACAACAGTGGCCAGGAAGAAACAAATTACAGTCTTGTTTTGGCTTTTTGTCTTGACTGTGTGATTTATGGGCCTCAGTACAGCGATTAGAGATGAAAGAAAACATTCCAACCTCAAGACCTGTACATTACTGAGGTCTCATGTGCCTGGCCTTCTACATGAGTTACTGTAAAAGGGAGTGGGTGGGAAGCAGCCCCTGTATTAAAAAAAAAGGAAAAAAAAAGTCATTTTTAAAAAGGAAAATTACAAGAGCTCAAAGTCAGCAGATACAGTAGAAACAACTGCCCAGTCACTGCCCTGTGAAGCAGAGGAGGAAAAACATCTCTGCCCGGAGGCGGCCTGCAGCTCTTGCTGGGCCCGCTGGAGACAGCAGCCCCGCGCTGCTCAGGGCCAGCAAAGGCAAGCACATCCTGGCCTGTGCAGAGGGGAGGCGGGCTCGCCCGGCTCCGGGACGCGTGACAAGCACGCTTCCCAAGAGCGCCTCGGCAGCACCGCAGGAGAAAAGGTCCGCACGCTTGACCTCCAGGGTCTCGGCAGCTCTGGAGAAGAGCTTCCCCTCACTACGCACAGCACAACCCGATGCCCACGATTCCAGCCCATTCTTTGTGCACAAGATGCGAGGCGGGAGGGGCTGCACATGCGACTGCGCCCCCTGCTTGGCGGGTTTGGATATTCCTGGCCTCAAAGTGAAAGGGGAAAAACATGGCTTGTGTCTTCCATTTCTGGCCACTGCAAATGTGGAAAACACGTCTCGATCGATAACGTTTCCCAGTTTGAAAGAAGTCAACCGACCACACGCAGGTGATCGCATTTAAAAGTCGCATGCATGCACTTCCCTGCTCATTCACACAAGGCTCTGGCAGACGAGGGATGCGCGCCCGTGGGCCGTTCTGCCGCACGGAAGTGCCCTTCATCAGGAACGCCGCTGCATTCAGCCAAGAGCCTCCCGTGCCAACCGCAGAGCGTGGGCGCTTGTGGACGGGTGCGCCAGTGTGCGTTCCGCCAATGGCAGCACCTCCGCTTTGCAGCCAGCAGCATCCCTCGGAGCAAACAGTTAGCGTGCTGCTTTAGAAATGTGTTGATTTCCTCCGAAGGACACCAGGAGCCGACCTTCGGAGGACAGGCCCAGTCGAGGAATAAAGACTTTGGTGACAGCCGCGATCTCGCTTGTGCAAAGGCACGGAGAAAGCAAAAGGGAACTGCGAAGGAGGTAAGCTCCCCAGGTCGAAGTCCTCTTATTCTGGACTCGATTCTCCTTTGCGTCTTGGGCAGTAGCTTCTTGGTGCCATGACCTGCTCTGTGCTACCACTCAATCAGAGCCGATTTCTAGAACTGTCAAAGGGGAAAATATGAGAGTGGCTGAAACGGACAGAGTATCTTTTATAGCCACTCTCATTTGCCCAAAGGATAGAACTGGATTTGGGGTTGCTGCCGATATGGGCCAAATGGATAACCTCCGGGCCCCGGAGTAAGGGATGCGGTATTGGAAGGTGCCTTACCCCCAGCTGCCCCCCGCCTGCCCCACCTAGCCCGATTCTGTCTGTGTTCTGGGGCAGCCATGGCCCTCTGCGCGGCTTCAGGCAGGAGGGGTACCAGCCCTTCCCAGAGATCCTGTTGCGGATGGGCCTGGGGCACCCCACAGGAAAAGCCGCTGAGCCTCGGCCCTTCCCAAGTCCAGCACGCTGTTGTCAGATACGTTTGAGATACAGGAATGTGTGCGTCCAAGATGGGCGCGCTGCAGAGAAGCCCACAGAAGCACAGGAATTCAGCAAAGAATCCACAGATTAAGCAGAAATATGAGCCTAACCCCCATCATGCGGTCTGAAATACAAGGAGGGGGAAACTCCCCACCCCGACCCCCAAAACACCATCCCTGAAACAGAGACTTTCCAGAAGCCCCAGATAACACTTGTGTCATCTTTCAGCAAATAACCAAATTGCTGCAATGAAGGGAATGGATCTGCCCCTACCTACATTTTTCGGGTTTTATTACTGCAGATAAGCTGGAGCCACTGTGCAGACAGGGAGACATTACGACTGTGTTTCTCTGGCCTGCCGTTATCTCTATCCATTCCGACTCGCTGAAATGTGGTGGTAAATAGATGAAGAGGCCGCTGGGCAGGCCTCCAGCTCTGGCGGTTCAACTCGCTGGACTGGAAAAAAGAGAAAGGCACATTTCCCGAGAGAACGATGGCTTTCCACATATATCCCCCACCCGCCGAACATGTTTCCCATGACTGAATAAACACAGCACAGGAACGCACGAGTGCCACTGGGGAGTGCTCAGGCAGAGAGAGACGCACCCCCACCCCCCGTAATTCACACAGCCTTCCTCTCTGAGCCGCCAGGCCTGCTTTCCTGTCCATCCCCCTTGTCAAGGAAACCAGGTGAAGGACGCAGCGGCACAGTCCTCCTGGCAGCTGGCACTTTGGCAGCCGCAAGCCAGCTTGACCCGAGGGCCGATCCGTACATTAGCCCGATTTCATTTCTCAGGCACAACTGTCTACTCAAGTAACGTGCGAGGCATGATTAAGCCCATGCAGCATTTGTTTCTTTAGTCTGTAGACCCAGAGGTTCTCTCGACAGACAATCTAATCCTCGGATTGAATAGCTGTTGCACAGAAAATATTTCCAGGTCAGAAATGGGATGCTCAAACAGGCTGCTCAGTTTTCTAAACAGATTATGAAGGCCTGCTATTGCTATTCCAATGTGCTCATGTAGTCCATCACCCAGACGATTTACATGCAACAGCAGCCGTGCTCACACAACCTGACAACCACCTCGGCAGCAAGCCACAGTGGGTCGGTGGTTATGCAAACAGTCCACTGAATACCCGGTCGCTGTGGGTTGTTGGCCTCCCACGCCCTGGTCCTCCCAGGGGAATCCCAGGAGAGACTATGGCAAGCCTGAGCTGCTTCCCTGTTCCCCTATACACCTGCAGACTTCCCTGCCAAGTTTGTTTTAAGCTCTTTTGGAATCCTTCTATAAAAATTCAGCTTTATTTTTAACAACTTTCAAAAGTGAGTCTTCTCATATACAAGAAAGGTTTTGCATGTTCCCAACGTGGCATGAGGAAAAGTGAGAGCGCCCCTTGGGCCATGAGCACAAACCGGCCCCTCAGGGTCTGGCTGCGAAGGGGGGAACAAGTTTTGCCAGTGACGATCGATCGTTGGTGCCTTTGGTTGTTTGACAGAGGTCAGATCTGGCCCCAGGTGGAACCACCTGCAGCCCCCGTGTGGTCATGGCCGGAATGGGGGGTACCCGCCAGAGGGGCTTCGCTGCCGGGCCCATGCCGCCCAATGCCCCCCCCCCCCGGCGGTCCCTCTTCCCACAGCCATGCAGGCGCAGGTTTAATTAAAAAAGTTCGCAGATATGCGGTGGGGGAGATGTTCAGAGCCATGTTTGGCGCTCATACTAACAACAGCTGAACACCGCATTTAACCAGAGCCGGTACCTACGCATGGGAAGCTCGCTGCTCGGCTCCGGCGACGGACAGCGCGGAACAAGCCACCCTTCAGCGCGCCGACGAACGGCGACAGGCCCCTTCGGGGCGCGGGGCGGCCGGGCTCGGCGCTGCGTCGGCCCCAGCGAGGCCCGCTCCCGAGCCGGAGGTGGAATAAACGGCAACATGCCGGGGAACGCGCGGGGCTGCGCCGGGTCACCGGGGTGCCGCGTGGCGTCACGGCAGCCTGGGGAGGCCGGGCGCGTGGGGGCTCGCAGGGCCGCGCGGAGGAGCTGGGGCGCGGCAGGGGGCGCTTCGCCCGGAGGCGGCCGCGGCGAGCGAGGCGGCGTCCGGACAGCCGGCCACCGGCGCGGCCTGCAGCGCGCCCCAGCGCCAGGGGGCGGTGACGTCACCAGCCCGGAAGTCCGCGCGAGGGGCCCTCTAGGCCCGCCCGTGTTCGTAGAGCCTCTTCTCGCCGCCTTCTGAAATGCGCCCTTCCATTGGCTGGCGAGCGCCGGGAGCGCGGACCCGATTGGCCCGCGCGAGCCGCGCCCCCTCCGCTCCCGCGGTACGGCGGCTTCGGAAGGCCAAGGCACCTCTTTCGGCGAGTCGCGCGAGCCTGCATGGGGACGGCGGGGGAACGCGGCCTCGACGGGGCCGGCCCAGGGCCCGCTCCGGGCGGCCCCTTCTACACGCTGGCCGAGGTGGCGAAGCGCAACTGCAGCAAGGAGACCTGGCTGGTCATCCACGGGCGCGTCTATGACGTCACCGGCTTCCTGAGCGAGGTGAGTGGCGGGCATGCTAATTTATGCAAATAGGCCGCTGGCCTGACGGGGAGGGCCCGGCCAAGGGGCGGGGCCTCAGGGCGGCTCTTTCCGCTCCACGCTGCCGAGGGGGGCGAGTAGGCCCCCTCCAGGTGCCCTGGCCAGTGGTTAGGGATGATGGGAGCTGTAGTGCAGCACCTCGGAGGGCAGCGGGTTGTGATGATCTTGCACGAGGTGCTGCTTTGGGATAAGCAACTCCATTTCCCATTATCCCCAGACAGTTTGGCCAGTGATAGGGCACGTGCGGGTGGGGGTCACGCCGGTGTTGCTTGCAGTGATGCCGTTTTGGAGTAGCCAGGGCAGACATGCTGGTGGCCTCCAGATATTTTGGACTATGGCCCCCATCGGCCTCGGCCAGCTTGGCCAATGATTAGGCATGATGGGAGTTGTGCTGTAAAGCATTTGGAGGGAATCAGAGTTGGGCTCAGTGGCATGACCCCACACACAAGGCCACTTCACTGACGCGCAAATCTGCCTTCCGGTTGCTTTCTTCCTGACCACTCTCAGTGGAAGGAATGGATGCTGCATGTGCCTGTTCTTGTGTTATCTGCGTATTCTATATTCTAACCCCTAAGGTTATAATATTAATTCTGATTTTCAGGGTGAATGCGTATGAAAATTCTTGATGCTGTTTCCTCAGAAACAATGAAGCAACAATAGTGTTGGGGAACAGTTTCTGAGCTATGGAACAGTTTCCTTAAACACACCCCAAGTCTTTTCTCCCTTCTGCCACCCATTCCATGTAGCCATTTCCTTTGCCTTAAACAGGACAAAACTAGTAAAAATCCTAAGCTTCTGGTGTTTGCGGGGAAATGAACAACCCTATTCCCACCAGCACAGTCTGAATCAGATTTAGATAACAACTGCAAAAGCAAAGTAGGGGACGCGATGGACTTCCTCCTCCTCCTCCTCATTTTTCTTTGCTATTAAGTTTGCGACCTCCTCTTCTATGCCCACCCAAAGCAGCTAACCTATATTTACGTAAAAGCAATGCAAGACAACGCAGTATCTAGTCAACATAAAATGTTGACCTTTAGCTAACTGCAAAGATAAAAACACTTTTTGTGAAAGCCGCATAAAATTGTAAAAGGCCGCTACCGACAGAATGTTTGAAGCCCCATTCCCAACTATTTACTTGCTGGGGCTTCTTCTGTAATGTATTCCAGTGGATTGGGACCTGCACAGGAATGATTTCAAGTGTGCACCTGTGCGTACGAGGGAGAGCACTCAAGTGGGCCCTCCTTCATTTGAAATGACGGCACGGGGCAGTCCCTCTGTGTACCATCTCGAAGCTGTAGAAACTGCCTTTTGAGCTTTGAAAGTTGTATTAGAGCATGCATGACTGAAATCGAGACACGGGGTTCTGAGATGAGAGGAGCTTGTTGGAATGAGGTTGATCCGGTGTGTTCAGAAAGCTTGGGACCACATTCCTGAATTGCTCAAGAGGTGCCGGTTTGTTTATTGATTAGGCTGCCCCTTCTTCCTAACACGTCCTGGAATGATATACACGGGACATGAGTGAAGCTAATGAACTACGATAAAAGTGCAGAACCTTCTAAATGGACAGAGCAGCAGCGCTGGCTGACAGGCATGGCCAACTTGAAGCATGGTGCTAATGAAACTGGCACCATAAAGATGGCGATGCTGGTGCCAGTCACCCTCCTTTAGGGACAGTATTTCACAAGTTGGGGCCATCACGAAAAAGAGTATCTCCCTTGGTCCCACAAAACATACTTCACTGTAAGTGAGAATCGGCTTCCGCTGAAGGTCCTGGGACTTCCTGTGATCAGAGGTGTGTATCATGGATGCGTTTCAGGGCAGGATGTATTTGCTTCTGTCTTCCCTCACCGTGTGCCCAGCACGTGCTGGGAAGTGAGACTCTGGGCGCCTGCCGCCCAAGCGCTGTTTCGCGTCAGAGCCAGGCCAGCTGCGGACTGGCACAATCCGCACTGTGTGTCTCAGCCTCGCTTGGCACGTGGCTTTCTGCTATTTGGCCACTGGGAGAAAAACGACCATGGCCATGAGCAGCCTCTTGGCCGTGGGCAAATTCAACCCCTCAGTCTGTTTGCGTATCAGAGCATCTCTTTTTTTGATCCAACATTTTCAGGCAACAGCAACAATGCCATTCTTCAAGGAGAAACTTAAGGTTCCAAGAAAGGACCTGAGCTGCCCTTCTCCAGAGGGCAACTCCGTATGCACATTGTCTCTCTTCCGCTGGGAATGTGGGAGCCAGCTTCAATGTCAGAGAGATTCCGTAGGGCTGAGCGCGCACTGTTCTAGGCCCGGTTGGGGTGGGCAGCCCAGCCCAGCCCGGCCCATGCCGGTCCGGCCGCTGCAAGGCCACATAAACAAAGGAGAGAAGCCAGCTGCCGGTGACCTCGGCCAGGCCCTTCCTGCGTGCTGCTTGTCTCCAGCTCCTCTCTGCCTGTGGCTTCTTTGGTGTCCTGCTGGGGAGAAATGCGAGATTTGCCAAAGGGGCAATCCGGTGACGTCAATCGGAGATGACTCCTCTAACCTCTGCCCTTCGTCTCGACCTTGGATTGTTTCGCCATGGGAGCAGGCTTCACCACAGGGCTCCCTGCCGCGCCGCTAAGGTGTGCCTGGGCATGTTCTACCTGCCTTGCACTCCCTGGCCTGAAGCACCCGAGGGCTGGGGCTCCTGTTCTACCCACCTGGGGAAGTGGGGCGGGGGGCAGGGAGCCAGCCAGGTGCTGGAGCCCAGGGGGCTCTGTGGATCCCACCTGGCTGTTTGTCCATCCGGCCCAGTATTTGGCTCTCCAAGGGCCTCAGGAAGAGGGAGGCCTTTTCTAGAGATGCTTGCAGCTGGAAGTGCCTGGGAGCAAAGCCGAAACGTGGAGCGGGGCACCCTTGAGCATGGACCTTGACGGGCCTGCTTGCTCGGTCGTCCCCACGCCAGTGCCCAGGCAGCCTGTGGCAGTGCGGCAGCGCTCCCTTCTGTGCCTTGGGGGCGGCTGGGTGCCCGCTGCTGCCAGGAGCCATCTTGTCGAGGGAGAATGTCGGGGGAGTGGAGGCAGGCCGGGCTGGGAATGGGTCTGTCTGTTCCTTTGCCTCATCTTTGCCCAGCTTTCTGCATTGCAAGGAAGCACATTCTGGGGCAACAGCTGCACGTTGTCACAGGCAGAGTCACCGAATGCCAGTGCAGCAAAACTCCCAGTGTCACAGTGTCCTTGGGGATCCTGGGTCGGGACGTTTGCGCCCTCACTTGGCCTGGGATAAGGGGACGCCCCCGTGCCGGGCCTGGTTTCAGCAGCCGCCAGGGTTCAGGTGTGTGTGGAGAAGGTGAATGGCATCCGTGAGGCCCCCCAGGGAGAAGGGGGCTTTTCAAGGCTGCAGCTGTGGCCCCTCGGTGGGGCGATCCTGCCCAGTCGTGGCTCTGAGGCGATTCGTTGCGGCAGGTGCTCACGCTCCCATGCGTTGCTGTCCTTCCTCACTGCTCCTGTGCTGATCTTCCTTTCAGCATCCCGGTGGAGAAGAGGTTTTGCTTGAACAAGCAGGGAGAGATGCCACGGAGAACTTTGAAGATGTCGGCCACTCTAAGGACGCCCAGGATATGCTGAAGCAGTACCTCATTGGAGAGGTTCATCCGGTGAGGCCCTCGTGCACGGCCCCTGGGCGCCTGTGGGTTCTGCACTTGCAGCTTTCCCTTCTTGCAGAACGGGCTGGGGCAGCAGCTTCCTCTTTGGCCCTTATGGGAGCGCATGTGGGGCTCCCCGAGGGAGGGGTTACGGGGAGAGGCTTTTGGTTGCCCCTTTCATGAGCCCTTGGCCAGCACCTTGACGGCCAGGCTGCCTCTGGGAGCCGGAGGGAGGGTCTCACGCTGCTCGGGGAGCACCTGCCCTCCTTCAGAGGCCGGAGGGAGTTCTGTGCAGGCCGCTTGAACAGTCTTTCCCTCCTCTTCCCCTCTCTCTGCAGTGCGACCGTAAACCAGACGGCTCCAAGGTAAGACCTGCTTCTGGGGCGTTTTCCCTTCCATTCTTGGGCAGCCAAAAGCAAGGATTAGACACAGGCCCGTGGCACTAACTGCTGCAAAAGTGGTGGCGGGGCCAGACACGCTCGGGTGCTGCCTGTGGGAGGAGGGCACTGGCCGGGGGGCCTCTCCCTTCTCGGGGGCCGCGTGGCAGCCCTGGGCCTTTCCACTGGCTTGGCCCGTCAGAGGCAGGCTCTTTGTGCCTGGCCGGCCAGGCTGGTGCCTCCTTATGCAGCACCCCCCTCTGCCTGGCGGATCCCGTGAGGTGTGGGTTTCGTCTCTCTCGATTGCTTCCGAAGGAGGCTGCCCGGCTGTCCTCCCCGCCCAGGGGCTCCGGCGTAGGCCAGTCGGGGGCCATTCCGCAGAACAACTGGGATGCCCAGGCTGCATTCTCAAGGTGCTGGCTGGGGATTACAGGAAGGGGAAGGGGGTTGAGCTCCTGGGCTTGGCTTGAGGGCTTCCGGAGGGCTATGAGAAGCAGCCTTCAGCTGGGCTGCACCCCCTCCCACCCCCCAGTGCGTTGACTGTCTTGCCTGGGACTGGCTGCAGAGGCTCCCCCCCCCCCGCCGCCGCGTGCTTCCGGCAGGTTCTTTCCTGGCCCTCCTTGGAGGCGCCCCTGGGGGACGGAGCAGAGACCTCCTGCCCTACGGCATCTGTTTGGCGACAGTGGAAGCAGGATGTTGGTCTCGGTGGACCTTTGGCCTGCTCTCACAGGAGCGCACTGATGCTCGTAGGAGCAGGAAAGGCTCTGGGGGAAAGGTCCTGGGCTGGAAGGCCGTCCTCCTTTGCTGGGAGTTCCCTGTTTTGCACCCAGCAGGTGCCAGGGAAGCGGAAGTGCTGCAGTTCTCGAGCAGCCAGGGATGGCCAGGCTGCCCCTAATTCTCCCTGGCCGGACGGGAGGACGTGGAACCGGGCGTTGTGAAGTAGTTCCCACGTTGGGGGCCCCTCTGCTGCCAGTGAACACGGAGCCATGGGCTGCCCCAGCCACACTGTGCAGTGCCCAGCTGGTCAGCCGTCCACGGGAGATGGGACCGAGGCGCTTCCCCAGTCCGGCTCGTGGCCCTCTCTGCGTGGCCCTCCTTCTGCCGGCTCCTGTCAACAAAGGCTCGAGAACACAGCTCTTGACTCCACACAGCAGCCTTGCCCAACCTGGCGCCCTCCAGTGCGTGGGAGAGCGGCTCCCATCATTTGCAGCCGCGATGATGGGGGCTGTAGTGCAGCGCACCTGGGGGACACCGGCTTGGGCCCGGCTGCAGCACGCGGGGCCCGGGGAGGCGCAGCTGCCCCGGGAGTGGCCTCCAGGCCGCCAGGAAGGCCCCGAGCAGCTTCCCCACTGCCTTGCGTGTGAGGCCAGCACTGCAGACGGCCTTGCGCCAGGCGCCCACCCCCCTGCCGCCGACCCCCGTGTGCAGTATCTGTGCCTTAGGGAGCTGTAAAGTAAATACCTTTTGGTGATTTATGATATGCCCGGGGGGGTGGAATAGCCTTGACAGTGTCGCTTCTACAAACAACCACGTGCTGCAGCAGTTTCATCTATGGAAAAGGTTTCACGGTAACAAACGGCTGGTAAATGGGCATTGTGTGTGTGGCCGAGAGGGCAGTGCGGCTGGCGCTGGCCTTGCCGCAGGGTGCAGGGTGCCGTTCCTTGGCCGCAGGGCTGGCGGGGCCGCTGCATTTTGCTTCCGTCCCTTGGAAGAGAAAGTAGAAGTGCCATGTGGTGCGCTGGGGGAGGGCCGGGCAAGCTCCTCCGGCACAAAAGTGGCTGTGCAGGCCCGAGCGGCATCCCGGATGGGCCCCGCTCTCCCCTGGCCTTGCCCAGACGGTATTTGTGCTTCCACTCACTCCTGGGAAGTGGGATTTTGACGGGAAGAGACAGATAACCACTGTGGGTGGCCAGGGAGCAGGAAGTGTCCTGTCCGGCCCGCTCGCGAGCTGCTTGCCACCCCGGGAAAAGGCCTGGCCCACTTCAGCGCCTGGTTGCTCCTAAGAAACAATGGCTCTGCAAATGTCCCGGGCTGCCCTTCCCCAGCACGGTGTGTGTCAGATCTTTGGGCTGCGACTTCCATCAGCCTCGGCATGGCCAGAGGTCTGGGGGTTGTAGTCCAAGCACCCAAGGGCACGGGGTTAGGATACTGAAGGAGGAGCTGGTAGGCTTCCAGATGGCCTGTCTTCACCCCGCACCCTGCCAGCCTCCTGCAGCCGGCACTGGGAGTCCGACCAGCGCAGTGGGAAGCCGCGGTGCTTTTCAGCAGCCAGGCCGCAGCGGCATGAAGTCAATGCAGCCGCACCTGTGCATGTCGCCTCGGAGCGGCCCCACGGTGCCCCAGCGTACCGCACGCGTGGAAGGCCCCGCTCGGGCTCGCCTGTGTGTCTGTTCTGTGTCTCTCTCCCCCTCTGCCAGGCCTAAGCGAAGGGTTGCTTTTGCATGCTTGCCTCCTCCTCAGCTGCTTGTTCACTGTTGGCTTTCTCACGTTCTCTGCGTGCCCAGCTAACGCCACTCTGTGAGTCTCAAGCATAACATCTTCTGTGGGGCAAACTGATCGGGCCGTGTCGTGCTCCTGCCTCCTCTGTGCACAACGAAACCCCTGCAGCAGAATAGCTTAGCTGGAGGGGGAGGAAGCTGATCCGGCTGGGGACATGACGGGCGTTGCCCTTTCGGGGTGGGGAGGCAGCCCACCTGCAGAAGCGTCGCCCGACAGCTCCGGGAACGACGTGGGGAGATCTGCAGTGCCCTGCTCGCCCTTTCCTGAGCCCGATCTGGACAGCGTGATGCCTGTTGGATGACGCAGCAGTGGTTGGGATGCGCCTGCAACACGGGGGCATTCCTTCCCCTTTTGCTGGCCACAGGGGGATTCATGTTAGCCACAACTTCCCTCTCTTGCTCTCTCCCCCCACCCCAAACTTGGGTCCGTCTGCCACAGTGGAGCATGTACGGTGGACGTGCAGCTTCTGCGTGGAAGATGCTTCTCCTTCTGGGGCACATGAAGCTCCTGGATCTTTGGGTGGGGCCTCATGGAAGGAGCCCTTGCTTGAAAGGTAGTGAAATCTCCAGGTGGGTCTCGCTGCAGTGACAAACTTCACGCCACTGCATCCTCTTCGTGCAGCAGCAAGCCAGAAAGAGGGCCGAGCAGCCTTGCCCCGGGAAGACCCTTGCACGCTCGTGTCCCTGAAGGCTCCCTGAGGGCCATGACCCCGACTGGACGTGTCCAAGCGTTGCAGCTCTCCCTTTTGGAGGACAAGGAGTGCCTCAAATGACCCAGCCCAGTCCGTACTGCACAGGGCCACTTTTCCTTCCTCCCACTTGTTCTGGTAACCAGCGACTTGTGCCGGCCTGGCTGAGCCACAGAAGGCGCACCTGAAGCATCCCGCAATTGCAACGGCTGGCAGAATGGAAGCATGGCCTCCGTGCAGCCGCCAGCCCCGTGTGGGGCACGGATGCAGCCCGGCTTTGCCTGCAGGGCTTGTACTTGTGCTACACGGGCAGAACGGGGAAGAAGCCTCCTTGCTGCGGGGGCGGGTAAGCTCCAGGGAGAGCGTGAGCAGGAGACGGGCCGTCAGGGAGGCCAACCCATGGGGCCTGCAGACGGCCTGGAGCTCTACTAGGAGGGGCCAGGAAAGGGCCTGTTGGAGGAGCGAGGGGTGGAAGGAACAGCTCGGATGGAGCAGTGGCGGCTTGGGCCCCCGGCAAGGAACGTCCCGGCTGGTATTGTGTGGCGGTTGCCCTGGACGGGCTTGACGCAGACCTGGATCTCGAGCGCACACGCACACGCTTGCTGTCCTCCGCAGCGAACGGCAACCCCCCAAATTCAGCTATTGCTTAACTGCTTTCTGCCTTGGGTTGGGTCATCTGTCAGCACAGCAAGTTTCTGTTTGCTGAAAGCCTTGCTTGGTTTCAAAATCAAGTCTGCCTTGCAGGCTCACGGGGCACCTCAGAGAGTGGCCTGCCTGCCTTCCTTCCAGAGCAGCTCAGTACTTCATCCCAAGGAATTCAGTCCTGAGCCTCTTAAAATGCCAGTTTTGGAGTCCATGTTGACTCCTCTCTGGAAAATTCTGCTCCTGACTTTCCACCTGACTCTAGGCCTGTGGTTCCCCTTCTTACTGCGAACGCAAAGGGCTCTCCACCGTCTTTTCTGAAATAAAAGTGTTGTTTGTCCTGCAATTTGAATGCAGACTGTGGATTGATCTTGGGCATCTTGTTCTGCAGCTTTTGTTCCTCTGCTTTAAAGGGAAGGTCTGAGCACAGAGATACCACCCTTGGCCCAGCCTTAGCAGTCTTTGAATAATGGCTGTAATTGCCCTCCCGCACAGTCATGCTGGCCAACCGGAGCAGCGGGCCCTCCCAGCGCCCGGAAGGAGCCCTGTAGTCCAGACAGAGCTGCTCCGATAGGCCCTGCGCTTGTGTCGTAACACCAAGCGGAACGAGATTCTCCCAGGCCTGACGCGGTTCTCCATATATGAAAAGCGCCTGTTTGGAAGGAACGTTCTTGCGCCTGGCACCGAACTTCTGCGGGTGGAAATACCTTGCCCCCTCCCTCCCCCATGAGCAGGAGTGATGTGTTGCAGCGGTCCAGGCCCCTGCACTGACCAAGGGACTGGGCCCACTGGCCTTGTCCTTGCTCTGCTGGTCTAGGAGTCCCCGAAAGGCACCGTCCAGCGTGGAGGCAAACGGCGATCCAAGGACACGGCTGCGTCTGTGTCTCTGCGCGACCGCGGGCCATCTCAGATACGAACAGCTTGGAACAATGGTCCCTTGTGTGTTGCCACAGGATCCTTGTGGGCTCGTTCCAGCCCGGTGGCGGGAGCAGGAGCAAGCCCTGATCGCGCACCTGTGCCTTGCGCGCCTCACTGGTGCGGGAGGCCAGAGGGCCCCTCCTCCGGCGGCTGCAGGATGGGTTGCCGGCCGCTTGTGGTGCCTCGGCAGCCCGGCCGGCAGCGCTGGGTGCTCGGATGCCGCTGGGCGTGGGAGAGCCAAGAAGCTGCGCTGTGTCTTTGAGCAGCCAACCTTGAGCCTCGTGTGGGAACAGCAAGTCAGACAGAGACGCCCTTGAGGGGAGCGTGCCAGAGGAAGAGTTCAGACCAAGCAAAGGGGATGATACACGGAGCCTCGCCGAGGAGCTCCAGGCACGCCTGACACTTGGTTTCCCTCCGTGCTTGGCCGGGAAAACTGGCCTGCGGACAGCACCAAACGGGCTGGCCCCCTTTCACGAGGACGCCGCCGTGGCTCGGCCGGCACGCGCCGCTCCGAAGGGGCAGTGAGGGAGCAACTCGCATCTCGAGGGCCAAGGGGCCTTTGCGCCTTCCCCCACTGCTCAGGGAGGCGGCCTTCCTCTGCCAGCCAGCCAGCCAGCCAGCCAGGAGGTCCTCCGGAAAGGGCGGGGAGTCAGGCCGGTGGGGCGAGCCCTCGTGGGGAACGCCGGCCTGCTTAACGAGGAGCTGCTGCAGGGGAGGTCCAGCTGGGCCCCGAGGGGGCTCTCCCGAGCCGGGCGGAGAAGCCCGGAGATGCGTGGGCCGCGTGGTGGCCCAGCAACTCTCTGCCCAGGGATCCCTTCTCTTGCCCGTCCGCCTCGCTCTTCACTGCCCAGACGCAGAGCGAGCCAGTGCTACCGGGCTGCAGTTGCCCACCAGCGTCCCATCATCTGGCGCTTGCCGCAGGAGCCTGGCGGTGGGAAGCAGGGTGGCCTTGGCGAGGAGCAGGCCTAGGAGTAAACCTGCAGACAGGAAGCAAAAGTGTTCCTGGGCAAGGAGGGGGTGGAGGAAGGCGGGATCTTCTTGCTTTTGGCTCTTCCTTCAGTAGCCAAGAATTCCAGCCAGAATTTGTTACCAGGGCATTAATCAGGTCTGTGTGCTTGTGTTTAATTTCACAGGATCCCAACAAAACACCTTCAGATGAGACCAGGTAGAGTATCGTGTTCATGCAGGTCAACAAATGCAACTTCCTCGCAAGTCAGCCTCGTCTTAAAAAGAGGCCCCCCTGAGTTTGTGGGTCGGCCTCCTGCAAGCAGCAATCCAGACAGGCACCTTTGTGTCAGAGTTGGGTGGAGCAGCTTCCGCCTGAGGGCCTTTGGCAGGGGGGCTGAGTGAGGAGAACCCCCAGGCATATTGTTTACATCTCTTTAGGTGATCTTGCAAAGGTTTGACAGAAGATTGAGTTCGTAAGATCCCGCTATGGGTGCTGCTCGCACATACTGTGGAATTCCACCAGCCGTCATATCTGCGGCTGGTTACTCCATGGCTTGGCCCGGTTGCGCCAGCCGCCCAAAGGTGGGCCTGTGCCTGGAAGCCAAGGACTGCATGGTTTTGACTTGACCGGAGGAGCTGTGACAGGCACCCCTTGGAGAGCGTCGACAGAGCTTGTCTTGCCTTCCTGCAGAGCGTCCTTGCCTCCATCACCAACTTCTGGCATCTGAAGGGGCTTTGGAGTGCCCAGAGTCAAATGTGGACTTTCTGCAAGCTAAATTTACCCTTTTGATAAGACCAAAACATTTGGGTTTTAGAAACAGAAAAAAACACAGGGGAGGGCGGTCAAAAGAGACAGTGTAGCCTAGTGATGCGAGTGCTGGTCTGGAACTTGGAAGGTGCAGATTCAAGTCCCTGCCCAGCCGTCAGGCTCCCTGGGGCCTCTGGGCCTGTCACGGACTCTCAGCTCAAGCCAGAACGGAGAGAGGCGCTGGGCGAGCCACGCTGGGTTCCTTATCCTTCGCGACTGAACGAGCAAGACTGTTCCAGCCTTGGCGCGTGGACCTGCCTTTTGCCCTAGGGGAGGCGGGGGCTGCTCACCGGCCGCTGTGTTGGGCACACTGCACTCAGTAGAAATGTGTTCTGACTGCCCCCTTCTCTGCCTTGCTCCTCAGCTTCTGGTCCGTCTGGCTGATCCCCATCCTCGGAGCGCTGGTCCTTGGCATCATGTACCGCTTCTACATGATGGATGGGAAGTCCTCCTGACTTGAGCCCTGCTGGACTGTTAGGACCAGGAACCGTGCTGTGTGCCTGAAAGTTGTGGGGTTTCGCTGCGTTCCAGTTGACCCTCCAGGTGTTGTCCTTCACATTTATCAGTCAGTCTAAGCAGCCCCAGTGCCTGCAGAGCCAAGCTAGAATCTGGGAGAGGCGACCTAATCTTTGTTGTAGCTGCAAGAGCTGTAGCCTCCCGCCTTCCCTTTGCATTTCTTGTTTCTGTGATCACCAGGTAGCAGCTGCTGGGATGCACGGTGGATGCTTCTGACTTGCATCAGTCTGTCCTGCCAATCGCCGGGTGAAAGAGCTGCCATGAAGTCATCATTCCTCTTTAGAACATGTTCAGCAGAACTCCTGCCTCTTTCTGTAGGTTTTGCAATGGTTAAATATGTATTTTTAATGGTTTTCTGGTGTATATAGTCTTCGCTGAGCATGCACCTTTTCAGTTGGTCTGTTCTGTAATAAACAACTCTCCGAATTCCTGTGACTTGGCCATGTTTGTTCTGACAGCCGCTGCTGCACCTGGTGATGTTGGGGGCAGCCATCGTCAATCGTGACATTCATCACAATTGACATTGATGGGTCCTTGCGTATGTTTAGCACTCAAAGACACTTGTGTATTCTTCTTCGAAGAACTCAAAGAAGTTAGCCCTTTCACCAGCTTCCTACGAGCGAGCGAAGGCTCCAAACCCAAACAAGGAGGTCTTAAAACCAAGGAAACCGCCTCTGGGCCTGGAGCAAGAGATTGCCCCTTTCACGACTGTGCAGGGGAGGGGGGGTGTTCCCTGCTGCGTTTGCTCTGGAGCCAGCTTCAGACAACGAAAACAATCACACAGAACAGGCATTGTGCTGGGACAGGGGGAACAGTCCACTTCCCCACTGTTCTCAGTCCCTCCCACAAGTTTGCCTTGTGGTTCTGTCTTAAGTTGGAATCCAGGATGTTTAATTGCCATGAAATGACACTTGTCTCCTGAAGACTTCTCAGCATTGCCTCTGCTCAGAGGAGGTCAAGAACTACAGCTCTGTAAAAAGAAACAGCCATATAATTTCATCTCGTTGCATTTCTGTAAGAAGCCCTGAAATACACGGTTGTGTACAGTAGAAGAACTGTTGGCATACATGTCAAGCAACACATCCAGTTGCAGGTAAACCGCTTTAATGATCAGCGGTGAGAAGTCCCAAGAATCCATCCTATATTTCAGGAAAGAAAAGGCTTTGCCTTGTCGGTTTTTGCTTATGGGGATCTTTGGGATTTTAGGCCCACCTAGGGCGCAGTTGGCCTGCAGCTATACAATCCCAGGCAGTGAGCCGAGCACAATCCCATGTGTAATCTGGTGCACATCCCACTGGTCACGTCTGAACAAGCCCTCCTGGTCTTTCCCCCCATCTGTTCCCATGCTGCCCCCAGTTTTTCTCACTAGGTTGGTACTCTGTTGAAAATGAGGCTATTTTCCCCCAAGCCCTTGACCTGGGATATTTTGGAGCGTGCCTGGACGACCGAGATGCAGAACGGAGTTTCTTCAACATGGGCTCCCTGGCGCCGTTTCATCAACAGCCAGCCAATCGGAGCCCAGAAGCCTTCCATCAGGGCAACACAAAAATGTAGCCGGCAGTTAAACTGGTTGTGTGAGTGACTGTTTTGAGGCAGGCTTGAGTCTGTTTTGTGTTTGTTGAATATTGTTGATAAGACAGATACACGTTAATCTCCCGACTCCCTCTCTCCCTCCTGCAAATCCAGGGTTCAGCTCTTGTCTTGGAAACTAATCCATGGCCGTCAGACAGAGAAACACCCAAGAAGCTGCCAGCTTCTCAGAAGAGGGGCTGGCTTATGGCCATGTCCTTGTGCTGGGCAGGACCAGGTTGAGTGACCTTTGCTCAGGTTTTGGTGCTTAGAAGCCTGAACAGAGCAGGATTTGCCTGCTGGAGGGGGGTCTTGTTTGGCCAACACAGGTGCCCCTTCCTAGCTTCAAATCAGGAAGAAGCACCCTTTCCCACATGACTGCCTCCTTGAGCATGCACAGAAGGCACTGATGAACCATTTATCAGGTGCTTTAAAAAATACTTATTTAAAAGCTCTTCCCAAGATGCATGACACGGGTCTGTGCAATATGCAAGACGGGAATTCTGAGCAGTGGCACCCATTAGAGGCAGGCTTCCCGGCCCCATTCAAAAAGCTAAAGTGAACCTGAAAGCCCCAAACAGTTTGAGGCCGAGTTATCCAGAGGAGGGCGGGCGGAATCCAGCCTCTGGACTTTGGCGGAGCCGAAGGTTCTGACTGGCGGCCAGCCGGGTTAGGGGCACGATCCAAGCGGGCCTCGAGCAGGCCCCGGGGTCCGGGCCCTTCTCCGGCGGGGCAGCCTGCGGCGGGGCCCGGGCGGACTCTGCGCGTGCTTCGGTGCAACCTCCGCGGAGCGGTTGCCGCGGGGCGCTCTTCACTTGCCCGCGCGTCAGGCTCAGGATGCCTCGGAGCGACCTGCCCGGCGGAGCGGGGCTGCTTCCGACGCGCAGCACGCGCACCGGCTCGAGGGAGCGGGGCCCCCGGCCGGCGGCACCAGGCAGCCGTTCCCGGAGGGGGAAGGAGGCGCCTTCCGCCGCGCGGGGCACGGCGCGATTGCCTGGCAAAACGGGCGGGGAGCGGCGCCGGCCCGAGGGCGCCCGAGCCCCACAGCCGCCTTCCTGCCCCCGATGCCCTCCCGGGCGCGGATGCTGGGCGCTGCAGTCCCGCACGCCGGGGGCCGGGCGGGCAGGTGGGTGGGCGCAGCCGCCGCGGAGGGAGGAGCGGGGGAGCGGAGCGGGCCGGCTCCTCCCCCGGCCGCGGGTGGTCCGGGCCCCCAGCCACGGCGCCGCCAGCGCCAGCCGGAGCCCAGCCGGGAGCCGCGCCCGCCCGCCGCTGCGGAAGCGCCGTCGAGCAAGCTGGAAGCGCCGCGGCGCCCCTGGCCCGGCCCCGCCGCCATGCGCTCCACGCTGGCCGGCGGCGGCGCCCCGTGCGTGGCCCCGGTG